TGGTAATACAATCTTTTGTAGATAAACCTTACACAAACAATTGGAACTGAAATAAATACAAAGGGGACAAGCTTAATCTATACTTAATAATTCCATTACAAACCTTTTGTATAACCACCATTGAAAGCATAGAAAAGCTAGCAGAAAAAATGCAAGGAGCAAGGAAATAAATACAAGCTAACAGAAATGAATAAAAAGAGACAAACTCAATCAGTCAATCAATAGCTGACGTACTCCAAAGCTTTTATACAAACACAATTGAAAGAACGGAAAAAATGGCCGAAAATGACTCCACATTATCAAGTTTTCCACTGCCGTCCTTCGACAATTTTATTAAAGAATTTCCTCAATCTTTCCCTTGATTGATAATTTGATACAAACTTGGTTCAGGTGATAACAATTTATTTTAAAAAAGTAGCTCGGTTTGCGAAGCAACCTCTCTATTTCTCTCCCTCACCTCAGCCAAATTTTCACTCATTAAAATGTCTCAATGAATAGTCTTAGTACGTATTACAAATAATTCTGTGCCACTTCATAGAAACCCTATAAATTAAGGATTAGATTTACAACTTTGATTAATTTGCTAGAATTGCTCTCTTTGGCTGTTGGATTAATAATTTATTAATTTGTTCTTTTGTGACACATTCTAGAAAAAAATTCGACATGCATTTGCTTTTCTTAATTTTTGCAACACTTAAAAATATTGGTTCTGGTGTTAAAACCTAGATGTAAAAAAATTTTCCAAGTGCATGCCTTTGATTCCCTCTACTTGAAGATGTGCACTTGTCTTTACACAATATGAAGAGTGGGGACTTTTTGCAACAATAAATTTTGCCTTAATTATAAAATCCACTGCTTTTTTTGTCCATGTAATTATCATACCTACAGGTAAGGTACTCCCTCTGTTCTTTTTGTATCTTCCCATTTGCATTTTGGGCAGTCTCCCATTTACAACTTTAAACATTAATATTTTTAATACTCCCTCGATTTCTATTTGTTAGTCTCATATACTATTTTGGGCGTTTTAAAAAGATCTACCCATATTGAATATATTCTATTTTTAACTTCTTTTTTTCCCTATTTTACCCATATTGAATATATTCAAAGCTTGTAAATTGAAGGCACATTGGTTAATAATACGTTAAAAGAATTCTGATTGGTTAAACTAATTGATTGTGTGTTGATGACATAGGTCTAAGTAAGGAAATCCCTCACGTAAATTATGCAATTATGGCTAATGCTTTCCCAAAAAAAAATCAAAAAATTTAAATAAGACAAACTAATTATGAGCTGTTTTTGTACTTTAAAGTTAGATTCCAAATATTCTTCTTTTCTTAATTTACGTGATTGATTTTATATGGGACTATCATATGGAAATGGACGGAGTATCATATTAGTAAAAATCTTAAAAGGCTAAATTATGAAATTATAATTTAAATAAATCTAAATATATTTCATACGAATTTTTTTTTTCTAATACATAAATTACAAAATGAGATAAAAGTTTTTAAAGTTTGACCAATTAAATAGTAAATGGAATAAAATAAAGAGAACGGAGGGAGTATGTACGATTGTGATGGAGTGAAGGGAGGTGGTTGCTTAGGTGGTAGGCATAGGCTATCCTTTACTTACCATGGTTGGAAACGATAGCCAAAAATTTCTACAAGCTAAAAGCCTCCAATTAACAAGAACTCTAATTGCATTTATGCAAAGTGATCAAAACCTCAATTTCTTTGCACAATGAAAAACAATGACGTTATGCCCAACCAACACCTCCATATTCCCCAATACCCCACGCAAAAAGAAGCAAATGGAGACGACGAGAATTGAGAATTGGAAAAAAGCATCATAAGATCAAACACAAATTCTAATTCAATAAGTTTAGTAGAGAATCGAGAATTTACCAAGATGTTTCAATTTAATATTTATTGGTGCAATGAATAGCAATTTTACTAAAAAACCTATAATGCACGTTACGGTTCTAAGCATAATGCATAACTCTACTCTTAACTTCATAACCAAATTACAGCTCTAACCATAGCCCACTTTTGCTTAAAACCACATATCGACAACTTACCAATATACCTTTATAATTAAATTGAACCTATAATAGAGCCTTAAATCAAAATTTTATAGTGTTCTTGAATTAACAGTGACGAGAAATGTATAAAATTTAAACATCTAAAAAAGCCTAATCATATAAATTGCAATTCAATACTAAAATTGATGTTAATTAATACAGTAACAAAAACAAAAAACCTTAATAAAATTGAACCTAAATAGAGCTTTAAAACAAAATTTTATAGTGTTCCATAAAATGTGACAATCATAATAATGTCAAGAACAGTACAAATTAAAACATCTAAAAAAGCCTAATCATAAATTGCAATTCAATATTAAAATTGATGTTAATTAATACAGTAACAAAAACAAAAACCTTAATTTGGCGGAGTCGTCGAAATTAGCGTCAGGAAGTACAACCCAAGCGTCTTCCATAGAGTGCCTGGATCCCTTATCCTCGGCAGCAGCAGCTTCGATGGTAACAAAGCTGCTCGCAGAGTTGTCATCCTTTGCAGAATTTGAATTTGAATTTGGTTGGTGTTCCTCAAGATTTTGTGTGGCATCTAGTTTGGGTTTCTTTATTATAGTAGAAGAATCGGAAGATTCTGTAACAGGTTTGCGTTTGATGTTTGAATCATCGATTTCGAGGGAATCGTGGGGTGTTGCGCCGAGGGTAGAAGAAGAAGCAGGTGTTGCGGCCATATTGCTGGAGTCGGAGAAAGGAATTAGAAGGGGCTTCACTGCTTGAGGTGAGCGTGCCTAACTTTTTATTGGGCAACATAACGAAAGTTTACCTCTTTGATTATTGGAAAAATCAAAACTAATAAATTAATAAACGATTTGCTAAATTGGTGTTAAAAATAAAGAAATTACTAAAATAGTGTTCACTTTAAAATATTTCTCAAAGTGGTGTTCACTTAGGATTGAAAAACTCTAAACCTAATTTTTATTGCTTCGTATTTAAAGTCTCAATAAAAAAATCATTGGAGTCTCAAAACTATTCTCTAAGGGTTTTAATTCACCATTGTTCCAAACGTTGATGTTTCATGTTACATATTTTTTTGACAACTTATATCGATAACAAATATGCTAGAAACGGACTGCAGCAATCTATTCACTTATTTGAAGCAGGGAAGCAGGAAATGTCTAACTCTGGTCGTATCATTGTTAGGGACATCCTTAAGCTACTTGCTTTGTGCTCCTTTATTGATTACTCGCAACTCGCAACTCAGCAGTTGTGAGAATGTGGCTGCCCACAAACTTGCTCAAAATAGTAGAAACTATGAGGATTTGAGAGTTTGGGTGGAAGAGAATCCTTCTTGTATTAGCTCTGCTATTTTGCTAGATATTTCTAGCTTAGCTTAATAAAATTCTTGGTTACTAGCTCTGCTATACAGCCTATTTTGCTAGATATTTCTAGCTTAGCTTAATAAGAGCAACTCCAATGGCAAGCTAATTTGACATAAAACTAATTTGACATGTAGCTTGGCATGCCACATAAGCTTTTAAAGTTAATTGTCATTGTAGTTACTTTGAGCTCCAATGGCTAGCAATTAGCTTACAATTTTAAATGAATCCCACCTCCTTAATTAACTTTTTATATTTCATTTTATTGATTCTTTATATTTATATATATATATATATATATATATATATATAGGTAAGTTTTTCTCCAAATCTAATTTGCTTAACCAAGCTAATTGCATTTTCTAGCTCCAATGTTCAAGCTACTAGGTAGGGATTATTTAATGTTGCAAGCAAGTCCCTAGCTACAAGTTTACAACCATTGGAGTTGCTCTAATATTCTTGGTTACTTGCTGTCAAAAATAAAAAAAATGCAAGAAATTATTTGAACATTTATATTAGTACATCATATTCATATATTCCATAGTGCTTATATCCATTTTTACTATTATTAAAATACAAAAGCATTAATGATGAATTGATGAGGCTCAATGCTAAAAAAAAATTAAGATATCGTAAGCATTATTTAAGATAAAGATGTTTGACTTGATAAAGATATATCTTATTACGCATAAATGAAAGTTTGGCTTGAAGAAATCCCACCTATTGTAACCTCACGTTCTCCTTGATTAAGGTTTGAGTAATTAATAAAAGGAACCCTCTTCGTGTTAAAAATAAAAAATGAAAATAAATAAATAAATAAATAAATAAATTCGATGGTATACATATTTATTTATTTTTATTTTTTTTTTGAAAGGGAGAAGAGGATATATTAATTAATGTCCAATTCCGCAAGACGAAGTACACCTTCCGGAAAAGACTCAAAGTAACATTGTTCAGGTACATCACGGGTACACGACCTGGCTAACAGATGAGCCACGGTGTTACCATTCCTCCTCACATGACTACATTTAAAGTAGCTAAAATTCGGAACTAACAGTAGGATCCTCTCAATAAACAAATACAAGTACGACAGCTCCTGAACATGGACGTTGAGCTTCTGTATAATATTAGCTGCATCACTCTCAACCCATACCTTCGTATACCCATTCTGGATGGCCAATTGAACCCCATATAACACCGCTGCAGCTTCAGCAATACTGGGATCCTAGCAGCCCGTTTGTCTCTTTGCAGCCGTAAACATTATACCTCCCTGTGAATCTCTTGCTACCACATCAATCCCAATACCCTCTCCATTAAAGGTGGCTGCATCAACATTTATTTTGACCACCCCTTTACTCGGTTTCGTCCAGGAGGAAGTAGAGCAGAAACTTCTGGTGCTCGGCCTGCTACATACCTTGGCTGTGTAGCTATTGTGCTCAGCAACAAATTTCAACAGCCCAATTGCAACATCATGAGGGTTTTGAGTTGAGTCCTCAAAAATCATTTTGTTCCTGCACAGCCACATTGCCCACATAATGGTAGCGAACCTACTGAATTGCTCTCTGGAGAAGTTCCGCAACCAGTGAGACAGTAAAGAGCAAAAATCATCCTCATCAATGGCTTCTACGTGGTCTCTGAATGGGCTTTCCTCCCACACTTTACAGGATGTAGGACATTGGAATATAGCATGGACAACTGATTCCTCATCCACATTGCACCTTTGACATGTCCTTGTCTCTCATGTGACGTCTATGTAATTCTTTTCCCACTGCTAGGGCCCTGTGACTTGCTCTCCATAAAAAGTGTTTAAGCTTCGGGGGGCCTTTCCACCAACCAAAGGGGCTTCCAATAGTCCTCATTATGCAAGTTCTCAGCGCTAGATGGGCTATCCATACCGAACCAGTATGCAGATTTTACAGAAAAAACTCTGTTCTTTGTGAATTTCCAGACTGGTATGTCAGGACTAGGTGACGGAAGAAGGGGGATATTCATTATATCAGCAATATCCGTAGCTGCAAGGTGCAGCCCCATCTCCCTAACATCCCACTGCCCAGTTTGATGATCAATGATGTCACTTACTCTGAGATCAGGATCATGTAGTCCATTAGCTGGGGGAATGGGTATTTCGTTACCTGTCTCCCTAGGTAACCATTTGTCACTCCATACTTTAATATCCAACCCATTATCCACCCTCCATATTAAGCCTTCCAACAGAAGGGATTTTGCTCCCCAAATGCTTCTCCAAGTATAACTTGGATCAAACCCCCTCCGAGCCTCAATAAAGTCAGAGGACTTAAAATACTTAGCTTTGAGAACCTTGTATAGTAGAGTATCCCTGTCATGTATGAGTCGCCACCCCTGTTTCGCTAACAGGGCTTGATTAAATACCCTTAAATCTCGAAAACCCATTCCTCCCCGGGATTTTGGACGGCACAAGTACTCCCATGATTTCCAGTGCATTTTGCCGTCACCACCATTACCCCACCAAAACCGAGCCATCACAGAGTGAATATCATCTAGCAGTCCGCCTGGCAACTTGAACACACCCATTAAGTATGTCTGGATGGCCAGCACTACAGATTTTAGGAGAATCTCCTTTCCTGCTTTTGACATGAGTTTTTCCTTCCAACCCTGTAACTTCTTCCAAATCCTACTCTTCAAACTTGCAAAGATAATATTCTTTGATTTGCCGATAATGGTAGGTATGCCCAAATATTTCTCATGTTTTTCTACCTCCCCAACACCAAGTAACTCACAAATATCTTTCCTCTTATCCGGCCTCACATTCTTGCTGAAAGACACCTCCGACTTACTAAGATTGATTTTTTGACCAGACGCAGACTCAAAAATAGTGAGAATATTTGCAATCTTGGAGCATTCATTTATGTTAGCTCTAGAGAAAAAGATGCTATCGTCCGCAAAAAACAAGTGAGATATATTAGGAGCACCATGGCATACCACCCCATGAATTAATCCTTCGCCTGCACAGTGAGATAAGAGTCTGGAAAAAGCATCAGCTACAAGCAAGAACAAATATGGTGATATAGGGTCCCCCTGCCGAAGACCTCTCGTAGGAGTAATATTCCCAAAAATTTCCCCATTTGCTTTGATTTAGAAAGAATAACAAGAAAGGCCTCTCATTATTTTTTGAACCCAGAAGTCACAAAAGCCGAGTCTTAGCATAACCTTCTCCAGAAAACTCCATTCCACCCGGTCATACGCCTTCATCATGTCAAGTTTTAATGCAATAGTCCCATGTCTCCCATCGCCCCTCCTTTTCATGTATTGAAAAATTTCAAACGCAACAAGGGCATTGTTAGTGATAAGTCTTCCAGGGACAAAAGCACTCTGTTGTGGGGATATGATATTTTGTAGCAGAGGTTTCAGACGGTTGGCCAACATTTTAGATATTATTTTATACACTACATTGCAAAGGCTAATTGGTCTGTATTCTGTAATTTTACGGGGATTATGACATTTCGGTATAAGGATAATGCAAGTCTTTCCAAATATCCGAAATATCCAGTTCATAATACCACCAATCAATAATGAAATTAATAATATCATTGCCAACAATATGCCAAAACTTCTGATAAAAGAGAGTGTGCATACCATCGATCCCAGGGGCTTTGTTCGGATGCATTTCAAATAAAGCTTTAGATATCTTTGCACTTGTGGGAGCAGCGCAAAGTGTTTGGTTCATCTCCTCCGTAATCATACAAGATAACCCCTTTAATGCTTCTTCTCCATCTAAGGTCCCTTCAGTATTGAATATTTTTGTAAAATATTTCACTATAATCTCCTGAACCTCCTCCTTGCCTCTTTTCCACTCCCCTTCCTCATTTTTCAAGCCCCTTAATCATATTTTTGCTTCTCTAGAGCTAGCCTTGTGATGAAAATAGTTTGTGTTTTTGTCCCCATCACGGAGCTCACACGCACGAGCCCTGCTATACCAGTACGACTCCTCCATCAAACGGAGTTCAGCTAACTTTTCTGATAGGCGTTTGCACCGGGACAACCCAACATCATCCATGGCACCCTTCTGTATTTCTTTGAGCTCTTCCTCTGCCTTCCTCTTTCTCTTCTTAATATCACCAAAGGTCTTGCCAGCCCATGAGCTGAGAGCAACCGCACACCCTGCAATTTTTGTTTGTATTGGGTCATTGTAGGCACTACTCCAATAGTCTTTAACAACGCCCTCACACTCAGTTCTCGAAAGCCAGTGCTTCTCAAATCTGAACAACTTCTTGTTCCTCCCACCATCTGCACTACCATCCACCTTGATGACAATAGGGCCATGATCAGAAAGTTTTACATCAATAGGAGAATTAATGACACTTGCACCAGGAAATAGGGTACACCAGCCTTCACTAGCCAAGCCTCTATCCAATCTTTCCCTGACAAGATTTGAGACCGATAAGCCTCTCTTCCATGTAAATTTGCATCCTTTAAAGCCCAAGTCTCTCACACCCATACTATCCATCGCCTCGCAAAATCCATCCATACACCGTTCAGCTCTCGGAACACCTCCCACCTTCTCATCATCTGTTAGAATTTCATTAAAGTCGCCAAAAAAAGACCACTGGATACTCATAGGAGTTGTACAGATTCTTTAACAGACTCCATGTTTTGTGCTTATGTTCTTTCTCCGGCCACCCATATACACCAATCGCCCTCCACACAGGGTTATTGTCAGTTCCTACCACATCCACCGTTATATGGTTCTGGGAGAAAGAAACCATATTGGTCATTATATCTCTCCACCAAAGAGCAAGACCACCAGCTCTGCCACTACTGCTTACCTCTACACCTTCTGTAAATCCACATTTCTTCCGAACTCTCTCTACTCTTCTAGACTCCAATTTTGTCTCCATAATGAAGACAAGATTTGGCAACTCTCTCCAACACATTTCCCGGAGAGCGCTAACTGTCGAGGCATTTCGACTCCTCGACAGTTCCAACTTAATATTTTCATTGTTGTTCGCGGGGTGAGTTGATACCCACCTCCGCTACTTTCATAGATATCTCGGTATTACAACCCTCAGTCATAAGCCTCCTCTCCTTTTTACCATCATACTCCTTCCCATCATACATATTTATTAGGATTTTATTAAAATAAGGTTCTCTTCAATAATTTTTAATTTATAACCTAGGTTCGTAATTTCCAAAACTACATGGACACTAAATTGAGAAATATTTTTAGGTGAACACTATTCTAGTAATTTCTTTATTTTTCAACACCACATTGACAAATCGTTCTAAATTAATAATCCCACCTTTATCATTTTAATTCAACCATAATCCCATCTTTTTGAAATCTAAAAATCAATCCAACATTTAACCCCATTTGCTCATAATAATTTTTTTTTACCTAGACCTTATTAATGGGCGGGCAAGGTCGAATTCGGACCGGGCCGGGACTTAAAAAATCAGCTTATTCCTCGGCTAGGCCTAGCTTCGGGCTGAAAATTCCATGCCCAAACCCGTCCAAAATGGTGGGGTCGTACGGGCTTTTCAGGCCACTTTTGGACGGACCAAAAAAATGAACTAAAATAGCATAAAAATGCATTCCCAAACCCGTCCAAAAAATAAATAAATAAATAAAAAAAAGAAAAAGGCTGCCCAAAACTCGCCCAAATTCAGGGCGGGCCATCTTTGATCAGCTCTATTTTTACCCAAAACCTGCTTAATATGCTACTATTTTTTTTAAAAAAAATAAAATTCTTATATCTCCTCCTTCTTACATCCCACCTCCCAATCCTTCAATGGCAACACCACCACCGCCTCTCCATAACCACCATCACAGCCAGCATTTTATACCCACCTAAATACCTAATCTCCACCACGAACTCCCAACCCTACCTGCCCCCTCCCACCTGACCACTGAAATGGCCACTACCTGTCCCCACGCACAGAACACCACTTGACCCACCATTTAACCTTCGACAAAACCACGTCTTCGCTCTCCAACCCCAGCTGACCCTGCAACCCAACCCTGGCAACCCATATGAGCTCCACTCCTTAACTGAAACTCACCCCACCACTAACTCGACACCACACCCAAAAAATTTCTCTCATTTAGCAACCACCTACACCGAAAACCCACACCACCTCTCAACTCCACCATCCCACCACTCCCCAAAAAACATTAACCACCTATCAACTCCACCAACCCACCTCCATACGCCAATCTTCTTCCTCTCTCAAATTCGGTTATTGGCGTTATTATCAGTCGAAACCTCACAAATTAAAACTCGCACAATAATTGTCGATTCAAGGCTGCATTTATACACCAACGGGTGGGGGCTTTAGTTCAGTGGGTGGGGCTCTAACACAGCAAGGGGAGGGGAGCTAGTTCAGGTGGCGGATCAGGAGAAGAAGGAAGGGGAAAGGGGCCGGAAGGGGAAGGGGTTTTTTTTAATTATTAAAATATTTATAAATGACCGATCATAAGGTGACACGTGTCAAGTCACCTTCTAAAATATGTTACCAATTTTAAAAATTGGTAAGAGGCTTCTTTGGAGAAGATGGTTTTAATAGGGGGATTGTTTCCAAATTTCGAAAAAAAATTGTTTTGAGTAGAAATGACAAAGGTGGGATTATTAATTTTCATTTTCCTTTGATTATTTTTATTTTAATCCAATTATATTTTTAAAGTTTTGTGAGTAATGAATTCTCTTAAGCCACTTATAAAGTTCTTTGAGTTTCTTGATAATTATTCTTATGAAGCTCTTCTAAAGTTTTTTGAGTTTCACTTTTTGTTTGTTCCTTGTCTTGATGTTTATCGGGTTCAATTTTCTCCAACTTGTCGTTTTGGAAATATGTTCCTTTCCAAAAAAGACACAATTTCAAGCAATAAGTATTATTTCTTAATTGGTTAAAAAAGTAATAATACCCCTTTGTCCATTTCAACACTTACAAAGAGATATGTATATTGTCTTTAGGTAAAAGTTTATTGAAAAACAAACAGTTAGATCCCACTTTAGTTACAAGCACGGCACGATAGCGGCTCAACACGGCACGAGCCCGCTAGCGGCACGACATGACACGAAGAACGAGGGGTGGGCCGTGGGTCGTGCCGTGAACAAAGAAATAAAAATTCAGCACGAACTCGGCATAAGCCCGCGAGCGGCACAAATTTTTGGTCCGCCAGCACGACTCATAATAATAAAAATAATTATAAAAATATATATAAATAATAAAAATAAAAACAATAAAAAGAAACATTATAAAAATAAAAATAATAAAAAGAACTATAATAATACAAAGAACTATAAATAATTAAAATAATAAAAATATTAAAAATATTAAAATTAATTAATTAATAATAAAAATAATGGGTTGGCCTGCGGCCCGGCACTACCCGGCTCGCCAGGCATGTGGGTCGTGCCATGCCGTGGGCTGGGGTGTGCCATCTGGTGGCCCGACACGGCACGACACGATCCACCTCCTGGCTCGGCGAGGCATGGTCCGCGGCGGCCCGGCTCGGCACGATGCCTAGCTCTAGCTCTCACTAAGACTAAGAGCCTTAAACATACATTAAAAAGATAGTAAAAACTATTTCTATTCATAACTAAATATGGTATCTTTTCTTAGCTTTGACAATATGTTTAGTGCATCATTAGTTATTGGTGCATATCTTTCCAGAATTTTATAGGAAGAAATGTGATTCATCATTGTTTGAATCATTTCCAAGACTTTCGATATCTCCGTCAGGACTTACTATATTATTTATGGAGTTGGTTATGAAATTACAATACACAACCTTAAGACGGTCACTCTTGGCTCATCACTTTGATCTAATATAGATGTTTTGTTATCTTGCCAAGTCAATTATATACTTCACTGAAATTTTGAGCTACTCAAGATCCAGTTATATTTCACGTTTGATAAATATAGTCATATTCTATTCAAATTCTTGTGAAAACGTTAAAGTAATATAATCCTCTTTAGCATTCGAACTCAATTGTCTATAACACTTCCCTTTTGTTGTCATTTTTCAATAAGTAAGACTTGCTTGTCTTTGAATGAATTGAATCAATCAACTTTCAAATGTCTATCTAATAGAGCCTTGAGCGTGTTCCTAGTTATATGGACTATATGACATTGCTAAAGATAGTTGGAACATAAATCATAACTTTGACTTGAACCTTGTAAATTTTGTGTTAAAAAGAGTTGTTTGTTTATAATCAAGTATTTTTGACTCATAGCTTAAAATAAAACCAACAACCATTGCTCTTTTACTTTGAATGAGAGTCTTTTTGTGTGTAAACAATTACCTATTATTTCTTCCAGCCTTAATCTTTAAAAGGACTTTTAATAAATGAGATGACATTACAACTAATGTAACATTACTTGCTTCATTCCTAGCTCGTAAGTTAATAACTTCGCTTAACTTCTATAATTTTGATATCTCTACAAAAGTGAGATACTCAAGCAGTATCTAATATTAGTGTAGAAAGATGCAAGTTAACTACTATAACATGAACTTATAGATAGAATTGGAATCTTGAATTTCTTTCCTTTATTCCTTGATTCTCATATTTCTTATCATATATCATCTTATAACTTTAAGAGTAATTCTTTAAGTGTTTTTTACTTTTACACTTTGTTAGGCATATTTTAGTATCTATATCTAATGCACCATAAAACAAGGTTTTTTTCTTCTCTATTAATTCGTACTTGAATCACAACATTAATGAGTCCCACTCAATAGTGTATAAAACGAAAAGATATGTTGGTTGTCAACTAATGACAAATTGAGTCTTCAACTCAATACTTCATGTGTCTCATAACTAACTATTATTTTGAATACACGATGTCCAACTTAGCCATAAAAGTCACTTATGAGAAGTTGTATTTTAGAGATGTCTTTTCCTTTATTTGTTGATAGTCCTTCTCAAAAATCTCCTTTACCAATTGTTGGAAACATTATAAAACTCTATTCATCCTTTCTAAAAGAATGTATCTAGAATTCTACAAATATACGTGTAAAGTTTAACCATTCATCCAGAAAATATAATAAGCTTGAAATACATGCAAACTAGCAATTTCAAAAACATATTAATGTTTTATCCAAATTGTTACTCCCTCTGTCCCTTTATTACAGGGCTATTTCTCTAAAAGGTATGGTCTTAAGGAAATGAGAAGATTCCTTATACATTAATCATTGGGAGTACATGACCCATGTGGGGTTTGTTTAATGCAATATTATAAAGTTTAAATTAAACCAGAAAAATTATCATTGGTTGTCATTTGTGGACTCAATAATGAAAATTAAATGTAGCTACTAACACTTTCAACCAATAGAATTGCTACAAGACAAAACAAGGACCATAAATATTTCAATAAAGAAGTTCAATTCATCCAAAAACATCAAACATGAATTGTGGAAAAAAAAAACCGCCACATATTTCATTACTGTATAGAAAGGTGGCGCCATTTTGAACGTTAAAAAAATTTCATTCATTTTCTTACAAAGGGGAATTTTTATTTATATATTTACCCATCCTACTGCCTCATTAAATTCACACAATCATCTCCTTTCATTTTTTGTTTTTTTGTTTTTTTTTTTTTGTTTTTTGAAAATCTTGGCATCACTGCCTGCTGTTGAAGGCCTCAAATACGGACTTGAATGAAGAGTGGTTGCCAAGTGATGATGAGATAGATGAAATTGCAGAAGAAACCTCCATTAGGGGACTGTCGTTTGATTTAAATGAGCTTTCCAGTTGAAGAAATAGGGGCAAATATCCCTCATAATCCAGAAATAGGGGCAAAATATCCATCATAATCCAGAAAATCATCATCAACACTCACTTATGCAATTCATCACCCAATGATGAGGCAACGAGCACAAATGGTCAAGCAACAAACCAGGGCCAAATCATCACAGGTGTCAACAGGTCATGCTCATATGCTAGTAGAAAAAATCTTATTTGTAACGGTCTATTTGTAACTAACAAAAAAAAAAAAAAAGTTACAAAAACCCTTTTTGTAACTAGCAAAATAAAAATCTGTTAGAAATAATGAGTAGAAACATCTAGACACATTATTTGTAACTGACAAATTATTGCCCGTTACAAATAGAATAGTAATTGTAACTAATAAAATATTGTTAGCTACAAATTGTAGGGTCATTTTATATGAAAACTTAGTTTTTGTAACTATCAATTAAAATGATAGTTACAGTTATAGAGTATTTTTTGTTTTTGTAAAAATGTTAATGATCACAAGGCCTTTTAATATTTGCTAGACCATCATTATTCAATTTGCACTGCAAACTCCTTCTTCCTTACATTGGTACAACCGCCCCTCAAAGTTTATGTTCGCCCCTCAAAGTTTGATACCACCGTGCGTCCGCCCCTCAAGGTTAGCTACAACCGCTGCTCCCTTAGCCCTTAAACTTCCTCATTTCCTACTATATTCAAACCCTAAGCCCAAACTCCCTTTCATCAAGACCCCAAGTCCATTCCAGATCTGAAATTTCGAACACCTTTTAAGCTTCATCCTTCACCAAGCCCTACACACCAAGCACGCACACCGAGCGCGCATATCAACACTAGGCGAAAATTACTAATCAGCACCGGTTCGAAACTCCCATTTCGCACTGGTTTTGAACCGGTTCTGATTTGAGGGATGCCAAATCCCAAGACTTTTCGCACCGGTTTTTCGCACCGGTTCTTGATGTGAACCAGTGCGAAAAGTCCCCAAAAATATTAAAAAAAAAACTTTTAGCACCGGTTCTGTTCCAAAACCGGTGCCAAAAATGCCCCAAAAAAATAATTTTTTTTTTCTTTGCATTTTTTTCACTTAAATTGATATATAAACACTACAAATATATAAAGTTACATATTTTCATTAAAAAAGGCTGTAATATTACAATTTTCATCCAAAAAAAATTAAATAATCTAGACTTATCTCTGAGTACCTTTCTTGCATTTCATTTAACTAACTGTCCTGGTCTTGTGCTGGTGGCTGCTCTGCTGGCTGTGGCTGTGTTTCTGCTCTGCTGGCTGTGGCTGTTCTGCTTCTGTGGCTGTGTTTCTGCTCTGTTCAGGCTGGCTGGGTGATTGGTTTTGCTTCTGTTCAGGCTGTCTTGTGCTGGTGGCTGCTCTACTGGCTGCTGTGTTGTTGTGTGTTCAGGCTGACCTGCTGCTCTGCTGTTTTGCTGTGCTGCTATTTTTGTTCTGCTGCGCTGCTGTGCCTCTGTCTATTTGCTGTACTGGCTGGCTGGGCATCTATTTGCTTTTGTGGCTGTGTCTCTGTTATGTTCAGGCTGGCTGGGTGACTGGTTTGAGTTCTTGAGCTATTGTGTTTCTGTTCTGCTCTGGTCAGGCTGTGCTGGGTGTTTGCTGCTCTGCTGTAGTGCTGTGTTGCTTGCTGGTTTGGCGCTCTGGTCAGGCTGCTGTGTTTGCTGGGTTCTGCTGCTGCTGCGTGGTCCTCTGTGTTGCGGTACTGGTGAGCTGCTGTGGTGTCGTGCTGGTGAACATGTAGGACAATCTCAAGTAGGATTTAAATATTAGATTTTCAAAGAGATTACTATCATAAACAGTCAAGGTAGGTCAATATATTTATTGTGCATATTAGATTTTTAGAGACAATACTATCACGAACAGTCAAGCTAGGGTCTATATATTGATTGTGTTCCAATTTTACAATCAGCTGCATGCCCATATCACCGTTGTAAAGGAATTTGAGAAACCTCACAGCATGGTAAGTGTTTATGAGATAACCAACTGACATATCAAGCTGCAATAGCAGTCAATCATCCGCATTGACTGCAAAAGTGGTTCCGCGATTGTGCCCCCATCCAAGATTATAGAGCATGGAGAGGGGTAATGATCAACTTCTTAGCTCCATAGAAGTGAAAGCAAGTAAAAATCTTTATAGACATTTACAATCATCAATATGAAAGCAAATAAAGAGGGTGATTGCCTTTCTAACCTAATGGAGTAACTACGCTCAGGATGCTCGAGGTGAAACAAATGGGAATATAAACTGACCTTTAATTCTGCCACTTCTTGCTCTCGTTTGGCAAATGTCACAATAAAGGCAGCTTCTTTCTTCTTTGCTTTTTCTAGCTGGTAAGAAGAAATAACAAATTATTCACCATCGAAAACTAATAATATACAGTAATAAAGATAGGAAAGGAAAAAGCACAAACCTGCTCTTTCAGTGACTTGTTTGATGACCTTAAGGTTCGGATATAGTTAACCACCAATTTAGGTTCTGCAGGAACAATAACGAAGATTTTCATATCAACCAGAAATAAAAGCTCCAAGACAGTTAAATGGAAAAGAAATACAAAACATTAGAAATACAAAATATAAGCTAAAAATTATAAGACTGACCTGGAGTAGTAGCTGGGGATATAAAAGACTCATCTTGAAATGAAGAATGCTATTTCTGAATTTCAGAGTTTGCAGATTCCAGCTCGATCTAAGACAAAGCAGCCAAAACTAATTACTCCTTAACCAACTGTCGATAGTCAACTAGCAAAACTTAAGCAGACAATAATCGAATTTAGTTACTGATTCAAAGTTCTCTTTTAGGTCATCTTTTGCAGATGTAAAAAACAATATGACAGAGTGATGACGGGAAGCAATAACACACTACTAGACAAGCATTCCACTAAACAGGTCAATAGGTACTGTTTAAAGCCACAGATTAAAGTATATAATTCTCATCTTCAATATATTGTACTAAGTAAATCACTAGCATTATCATTATACATAATTAATTTAACCAGATCTTTACATATTAGTGAAAATATATCTCAATGATCACTTAAGTGAACTACAGAATCCAGAGATCCCTCAAAATCTCTTGCCCACAGATGCAATTACTGATACTGGTCTTAGATCATGTTCTGCTTATATTGGTACAGTTTTGAGTATTTTCAGTCTTAAAACAGAATTTTTAGTAACAACTGCACATCAACATTTTATTTATGGATTTGCATACTCTTTAATATAGATCTCCGCAAACCAGCAATAAGTTCAAAGAATACAGCACATGTGGAAATGTGTTAACCTTACCTTATAAAGTATTTGTTCGATTGTTTCATCTGCTAACTTCAGTTCAGATTCACATAGAATTGCGATCAACATTTGCCTCACCTGCAAAAATATAAATATCAGCTCATATGAATATTATAACAAACTTGCTAACATGCAAGGTATACAAGAAATTAAGGATGCAATCAAGAAGCTACAGTACAAGAATCAAAACCCAACTCCAATTATGCAAGATCAGACAACCCAAACACTGGGACACATTCATTACCAATAATCTGGGTTCGTTCAGTTTCTGGTTGAAATTAAGGATCCAATATCTTTCAGTTACATATGTTGCATATTCGATTTCGGGTAGAACGGTCTTGTTCAAGACCCTAAATTCAGACATGTTTGTCAGAATTTGGGGTTGAATCCAGATTTGTATAAGCTCATAGTCAACATCTAATTGACACTATAATAATGGCCTTAAAATCTTAGTGAATCTTTACTACACCTTAAGCAGAATAGAAAAAACCTTATAAAGTAGTACAACCTTGCAAGGGATTTCAGCATACACATGCATATGAAAACAAGGCAACTACTGAAAAACATCAAAGTGAAGCCACAAAATCACCGAGTCTTAGACAATCCGAGTAGTGGCTATAACAGGAGACCCTTTGAAGTAGATTATCAATTCTTTTAAGCTTTTATATGGAGCATCATTTGACTAGGTTGAGCAATATCTATGAAATGCTTATTAATATCCAACAGAGAAGTATAATCCAGAATTTAGGAATCTCTTCTTGCAAATGAGATCTCCTCATAGTATACAAGATAAAATCATCTCTACATATTGCATGTGCACACTGTCATTAAGTACACCGAAACCTTCAAACCCAATTTTATTTTACAAGCAAAGAAAAAATAACTCTCCAAGTTAACATATATAATGACTTCTATCAATAAACTCAAAAATTGTCTTTTCAAGATTAAAAGATCATTAAAACACAAGAAAATGATGTCATAAGAATTTAACAAGATTACAGATACTCACATGTTCGCTAGACTGAAGTGACACGTATACCATAAAACATATAAAATGGTTTGTAACAAACTAATCATATCCAATTAGTAATGTCAACTTACCACAAACATGGATATTTGCATAGAAGAGCCAATTGCTACTCCAAGACTGATGTCCTACATAATCCATAAAGAAACCTTTTAAATAAAATAATAATCAACATGATTCACCCATACAACACGAACAAGCCTTCTATTAAGGAAAAGAAGGCAATATAGAGTATCATCGTGAGTTATAAAAGTCAGTAGACGCACAAGATGGAGCATAGAGTGAGATTCAGAACTTACAAGCTTATCCTTTACAGCAAACATGATTGCACTTGCATGCTCAGCAGCATTCCCACAATCTGAAGTAGAATCACACTAATAAAAGCAACGGGCATATTCCACGAGTCAGATGCATCCTGAAAAAGGTTCAAGTAAAGTAAAAATGTTGTCTGGTTGTATCATTATCCACCAGTTCAACAATTCCGACATTACACACCAAAGATCACAAATGAATCTATTAGAAGGATTGTTCTTTATGGCAGAGCTTATATGCATAGAATCAAATCTTCCTACAAGATTATTCAAAACATGAAGACAACTTACAGACTGATGAGACTCACATTTTTGGGCATGATTATAATGAAACCATCACATTCAAATGCAGAGGATTTAATTACAAAGAACTGCAGCAAGACCAAGAAGAGCTTGATGGAGGATCATCAAACATAGCTTCGTGCAATTATTTTAAAGACATACTCCACTCCCTAGATGGAATTTTGCAGAGCTCATGGATTTTCAAGCAGGGTTTTTTCTTGGAGAGTCTATTCCTAAACAGTTGCTTTTCAATAGAGCTCTTTTGTGTTGCTTTTTTCTTATGATTTCATCTTCTCATGCCTTCCCTTAATCTACAACTTTTCACAACTTATTTAAAATGTTTTCTCTTATCAAGTCTGTAATAGTGTTATCTCAGCAGTAAGGTATTTCATTGCACAATGAGGTCAATGTTGGCCTGGGTGGATTTTATCAAAGCGATGCAAAGACTTATCATCACTTTTTTAATTTTTTTAACCATAGAAATCCAAAATTGAGTGGCTGCATTAATTTCCCCAGACTGCACTGTCTGAAACCTGGTTTTACACAAAGAATCTTTTCTTTTATAAATTCCACCACAATGAGGGGCATGCCTCACGAAGGTGCTATGTTCCTAGGTTCTACACTTCAGTGTTCCTTGAGCGTTCTCAAGGACTGATTATGGCCTCCTCAACCAAGCCTTCAGCACACCTTCACTAGTGTGCAATTGTAGAATGTGCTAAATTGGTAGGAAATGAAATTGTGCAGTAGATAGTCCAGATGGAAAACTACAAAAGGCAGAATTCTTTATGCTTACATACCTATTATAGATAAAAACACACATTGATTTGGTATAAACCTACCAACTCCCCACGACCCCAGTCATCCCACCTTTGGTTCCCTATTAAAGAACAAGGTTTTGAGCCCCACCTTCCTTCAAAATCAGCAGACCATATCCATGAAAGCCATGCACCAGTAAAAATAAGAGCCAATATTACTTTCATGAAATATATATAAATAGATGTAAGGAATTACCTGTATAGCATCAACGAGATATCCAGATAATACTGACACCCATAAGGTCAAAATAGCAAGTAGGAAATTGCTTCCCAGTAAGTTATGTCCGGAGCTTCCTCATCATCAGATTCTTCTACAGTATAGACCACATCCTATATCATTTACAGGAGTTAGAATGTGAAAGATATCATAACAACCTTAGTATCTTCATATAAGTAATAAACAGAATAAGTCTTTTCAGACAATCATAAATCTAAGGCTGTGCATGCCTAAGCCTTCCAACCCCACCATAGACACATTGAAGCCCTACAAAATATCCATCATAAACACATTGAAGCAAACAAAAATTGACACTCAAATCCAATGCTTGAAAAAATTGACTAATGCATACAAATTTTAATCAGTATGAATATAGTGAAACTCAACTTGTTTATAGGCCAATTATAATGAAGTAAACTAATTATTTATCAAAACAAACTCAGATTCATAGCAAAGTTATTGAATAAAAAAAAAAAAGAAAAAAAAAAAGAAACAGTGAACCCAAAATAACGAGTCAAGTTCTAAAATCAAAGAACCCACAATACACAATCAACAGATTCTACACAGCCAAGGTTAGCAAAAACATTACTTGAAATTGGGGAAAAAATTGAGCAAAAAAAACGCAGATTAAAAAAAATAAATCAAAAACACAACGTAATACCACAAATTTCAACTAAATCTATAACAAAATCAACAAAAAATACAGCATAAAAGAATATAAAGATGAATTAAGCGAAAAAGAGAAGAAAGTTACTTGTAATTGGGGAAAAAATTGAGCGAAAGAGAGATTTATATTAGGGTTTTGTAAGCTTTAACAGAAAAAAAAACCTTTCAAGCGCCGGTACCGGAAGTCGTTAAAGGTGACGGTGTCTTGGTCGGAAGCGTTGCAGGTTTGTCAGAATTTGGGGTTGAATCAAGATTTGTAAATTCAGACAAACCCTATATTACCACAACCCTAAAATTACTAAATTGAAAAGCAAATCAACGACAAACCTTAGATTGCGAAGGAATTCGATAGATTAAGAAGACGATAAGAAAAACCTTACCTCGAAGCTGCTTCAATGGAGGTGAGAAAGCTCAGAATCCGCTTCAATGGAGAATAAAGAGCACGAGTTCAATGGAGGAGAGATATGGAGAGAGAAGGAGGTGCAGCTGCTTCAATGGAGTGAGAAAGCTAATATACCGCTTCAATGGAGAAGGTGAAAATTCGGAGGTGGTGGAAGAGAAGGCGAAAACGAGCTGAGGGAAAACAGAAGATGGAAAAGTAGGGGGAAAGATATAACAGCCCGTTTTTTTTTTTTTTTTTCTTTTTTTTTGCACCGGTTTGGACTGAACCGGTGCGAAATCCCTTTCTTCCTTTTTTATTTTTTTATTTTATTTTTTTTTCTCTTTTGTAATTCGCACCAGTTTGAACCGGTGCGAAAAAGATGATTTCGCACCGAAAATGAGAACTTACTGTGAAATGAGATAGGACTTGAGTTCTTGCACTAGTAGAAAAAATGAATTAGACACCGCACTTTTCGCACCGGTTCTTGAAAACCGGTGGTAAAAGAAATGGGCGGGATTGGGGAAAAGACTTTTCGCATCGGTTTAATAGGTTAAATAGATAATAGCTGGTTAAATTAGTTTAAGTTTTTTTTTATTTATTTTTATTTTTTATTTTTTTTAAGTGAATAGTTGAATTATTTGTTAGATTTATAGATTATAGTTTTTTATCATTTTTATACCTGAGTTAAATCCCTATTCTAAGAATATTAGTTTTATATTGTATCAATATAGTGTTTAACCAAGATGAAAAAAGTTTTGGGTCTTGCCATGAGAAGTGTAAATCGAAATAGTCCTTGCCTTTTCTATTTGGAATTACACCCACCACCTGTTCAATGAAATGTCAGTAGTTTTGTAACTTCTGTTTGTCCCAATTTCATGGTATTGGTTTCGAATGGTGAAAAAGGTATGGGTTTTTGATTAGTTTATTTGGGTTATTGCTGAATGTGCCCACTGATTATAGAATTATAAGGAATATAGGGTAATTTTCTATCTTTTTCCTAAATAGATGTGTCTAATATTAGCTTTATAAATAAATCTTCATTCGAGTTGGTATATATAACTTCAAACACTTCAAAGCCTTCATCTATGTTTGTTTTAATGGTGTAGTGAAATAATCTGATAAAGATTTGCCGTTTTGTTGTGAAATGATTTTATGTTCCTTGAGAAATTATAAATTTTTTATTTATTTGTTTAATAATGACCTATCTCTTAAGACGATTAGGATTCTCTTCTCATATTTAATTTTTTTTTCCAGACCCTAGTATGATTGCTATTCAACTTTGTGAATTTTATCTATAATTTTCAGTGCTTACAGAATCTGCAAGTTATAATTTTATTTTTATGGTTGGATAAGGCCATGTTTAATACCCTTGCTTTCTATCTTTGCGTCATTACATTGATACTGTGTTTTGAACTTTATCCAATATTGAGCTGAGAATCTTGTTTAATTTCTACTAGGATGGTGATTTACTTATTTATTTGTTTTATGTATGATATTCTTATGCATTAGATTAAATGATTACTAGATAGGACTCATCGGTTTGATATATGTATGTATTTTGTTTATGAATGGAACCAATATTGAGGTGAGAATCTTGCTTATGCTAGTGGGGCTTACACACTTGCAGTTAGACCTGGAAAACGGGTTGTTCGGGTCGGGTCAATCAATATTCGGGTCGGGTTTCGGGTTAGTTTTGTGTCAATGGTAATTCGGGTCGGGTTGGGTATCAGGTCAACACTTCGGGTCGAGTTGAGTTCGGTCGAGTTGAGTTCGGGTCGGGTCGAGTTCGGGTTGGGTCAGTCTTCAGGTCCAGTTGTCGGGTTGGGTCAAATTCGGGTCGAGTCAATTCAGGTCGGGTCAATCTTCATCTTTGTCAATGTAGAAATTTGACCAATAATATATTATAATTATCAATAAGTATAAAGTATAACAATTGAATATTAATAATATATTCATTAGACAATTCCAACAGTACTATATACACAAGACTGTATTGTTTTATATGTATGATCACTATAACAAGTGTTCCTAATCAAATAGAACTCTTTATGAATTACGAGTACTAAATTACACGCACATTCCAACAGTACTATACACATAAGGCTATAATGTTTATGTTATTTACAATAAGTGTTTATTCAAGTAAAGTAATTTCCCTAAATCAGTTAGGTCATTTTGAGTATTTGTTAATATTGGGTCAGGTCATTTTGGGTATACTTTGGGTCGCTTCGGATTTCGAGTCTGTTCGGGTCAAGATCGGGTCGGGTCACTTTAGGTTGTCAATTTCGGGTTGGGTCAATTCGGGTATCGCGTCAACTTCGGGCGGGTTAATTCGGGTCGGATCAATTCGGGTATCGGGTCAAGTTTGGGTCAACTCCACTTCGAGTGGGGTATGGGTTGGGTCGGGTTAGTTTTTTGTACGGGTCAATTTCGGGTTTACGTTTCGGGTTCATTTCGGGTCATGGGTCGGGTCAGGATTTCCTGGTTTACTTGCAGTTATATAATTATTCTATTAAGTAGTTAAAAATTAAAATGTTGAATTTATAATTTGTTTCTAAAAGGACATAAGCTAAATTGTTTTTACTAAACTGGTGAGATTAAAATTATTGTCAATGGATCTCTGCACTTTTCCTATATACTACTAATGCTACTTGAGAAGGGGGGTAAACATAATTATCTCGAAGTTCATGGGCATGTTAAATAAGCTTTTATGTACAAAATATATAGTTAATCAAATTCTTGGCCACAATGAGTGTGAGGGTGATTTTGAGAAGGTAAGTGTTTTTACATTTTTTAAAATTTACATTAACTTGTTGTAAGTATTTGAAATTCTATTAACTAGTTGTATTTCGAAGGTATATTGTGCAAGGAGAAGGGCCTACGATGAAAAAGTGTTAAATGACGTTTGAGAATTCAAAAACAATGGACAAATTTGTTTAGAAGAAAAAACACGGTGAAGGAACCTATTTAGGTATGTTTTGATCGAAGACATATATGTGTTTTCACTTTTATTGGTTACAATGTAGTTGAAATTAATTGAATTGTAGATACTTATTTATTAATTGTAGAAGAGATTAAATGTAGATGGTTAATTGGTTCATTGGTGAATGGACTGAATGAATGAATGTATTGTGTATGAAGTTTATTGTGGTGGATTTGGTTATTGGTAAATGATATGAATGTGAAGGTATACTATACATGTTAAAGTATATGTGATTTATACAGGTTCATCAATTATAGAGGGATACTGTCGATTCTTTTTTGTACTAAAAATCAATTTTTGTAACCAACATATATTGTTGTTAGTTACAAATATACATACAATTGTAACGGACATTTGAATTGTTAGTTACAAATAATGGTTAAAATAAACAACATATAAGAGTATTTGTAACGGACAATGAATATGGTCGTTATAAATAACCTATTATTTGTAACTAACATTGATAATGTCCGTAGGCGTCATTTGAAGCGCGCCTACGTAAAAGCATGTGGTGAATATGCTTGACACTCATAGGAAGTGAGAATTGACATATACGATTAGGGACAACGATAAGGGACAAAGCAAATTAGGGAGTCGCTAACAAGTTTGTAAGGAACTTATAAACCATTCACGGATCATTTAAAGCAACCACGATTAAGGGACAACGAAGGCAACAACGCTTGACCCATGAAGGTTACACCCCATTCATAATCCATGAGATTACTAACTCCATATGGTTCGGAACCACGAAAGGAGGATTAAGGACAACGAAGGCAACAACGCTTGACCCGTGAAGGTTACACCCCATTCATAATCCATGAGATTACTAACTCCATATGATTCGGAACCACGAAAGGAGGATTAGGGATGATGGTACAAAGTGAGTCATGGAGTCACATTCGACCGTATTGGCCTCTACTCAATTCTTATAGTGAAAAGTATTTCTGCGATCTCAAAGGCACACAAACAAAGATTTAATTTGCTCCAAACTAAAATTAGGCTAAATTGGTTGAATATTAATGCAACACATAATCCTAAATATTGTGATCACTTGATTAAACAATAAAATTAAAAAGGAACCTAAACCGGTCGTCCAAATTATCTTATTAGGCGTTATATTCAATTACATATTCCCAATAAACATGCAATATGGTGATCAATAAACATAATAAAATCATCATTAACATTGGAAGCAATTTAGCTATAATAACGTTAGTCAAATCAAATCATAATAATAACCCTAATCATGATGCTAGCAATATAAAATAAAAGTAAGTAATTGAGTAAATAAATTACTCACGTTCCACGCTTTTTTAAATTGCTACTTCATGAATAAAACGTTAGTAACTTCAAAGAATAATAAATCAAATTGATATTTAATTAAATTAAAGTAGAGTTGATTTGGTCCAAACCCTCAATCGGTTATACCTTTCACGCCTTAGTTTAAGTATGGAACTTCAGGTATTGTATGGACTCCTTGGAGTGCTTAGGGAAGGAATGGTGTAATTAAGAGAATAGGTTTAAGGCTTAGAATGAGAGAGAGAGAGATGAGAATGTGTGTTGGTGCATAAGAGAGGAAGAGAGAATTATTTGGTGTCCCGAAACTATGAAAATTAGCTTCGTATTTATAGAGGAAATGTGAGGGGTGAGGTACGGAACCCTAGAAACGAAGTGCCGCAAAGAAATAAGCCCTAGAAATTGCCGTGTCATGGTGCAAATTTTCGTGACACTTTAGAATGTGTCGTGACACGGTGAAATATGACGTGGCACGACAATTTTGCCGTGGCGCGGCAAAGTCCAGTTTTTGCGCGTTTTTAAAACTTCGATAACTTTTGACCCATTACTCGGAATAAGGCATATAATATATCGTTGCAAATATCTTCACGTATAATTTTCAACCTAATTAGAATCAAGTCAAAATATTTTTTAGATTTTAATATATGGTCGTTTTAGTGAAAGGGTGTCGGTTTTGGGCCGAGTTTTAGTGTTTCGCTCATATCTTCTTTGTTTTAAATCAGAATTGGGCTTATGATATACCGTTGGAAAGCTTATTTCAA